TAAGTCATTTAATTGTATAAATTCTTAATACTTGTGCATCTTCTGACACATTATGTCCTTCAATGCAATTGTGCCATGTAGAAAGTTCTTCCAAAATTGGCTTTAAAAACTGCATATTCATACCTTGTTATGTTGAATCAGAAATCACACATTGCATGTTGCAATAGATATTGTATTCACTGTAGAAAAACTATTCTCCCTCTCTTTTGTAGTGTTTTGCTTGATGTTATACCTGATAGTGTCTGCCAGCCGTTCACTATATTTCACGGCTCATTTAAGTCACTCAATCAAGAGTACCAGTCCTCAATCTTTTGCTTAACCACTCACTCACTCTATGTCATTGACACCAACAACTCAACGTTACTCCACAAATTCAACATAACCCACTACCACTGTATCGCAAAGAAAGAATTAGAAGAGCAAGATGAGGTAGTAGTAATTATTTTGAATCCTGTCTATTCCTCGTATTCCAATGAAATATTCGAGAGCATGCCATCGCCTAGTGATCAAACAAAGTTGCCTGGCGACGGCAGTCCTCCTCCTAGCAACCAGACACCAGGTGTTGCACTCAATGAGTTGCATCTAAGCAGACTTGAAGTGGAGATATTTATTTCTATTTTTAAAAGTGCTCGGAAAACATTGAGAGAGCCACAAGAATATTTCATAAAATAATTCATTCATCAGTACACTAATAATGATAATAATTATGATACTTATATTGCATTGTTTTTATTCACTTGACAACACTGACAGTTATTATTATTATTATTGTTAAGTTACAAAAAATGTCTTTTCCCATGAGCGAATTTACTATCCAGAGATTTGGCCGAGTCTTTTATGAGTGACTTGCGTTTTGTTTCGGTCATAATGTTCTGTGGCAGCTGCAAATCGATATCACGATCAAACGGTCGCCTCATGTACTTATTAGTATCAGTTGAACTTCCCTGGAGCTCCTTTGAAAAGGAGAAGAGAGAGAGAAAGAATGTAATAGAGTTACATTTCATTAGTCTGTTTATAGATTGGTATGTTTATACACAAGTGGTTTGTGTACACCTGACATTAAGGGTTAGCTGTACATGTAATTGCATAAGAGTATGCCAATATTAAGTTCACATTATATTAATGCTATTATATATATTATGTAAGAATGTGTAACAATTTACTACAAGTAATCATGCATGTTCTGATTCACTATTGTCATACTTCTGCTTTCCTTTTTCTGTGCAAATCAACCAGTGACTCTCCCCTATTTCTTTTCTAATAAATACTTATTTATGATGATGATGTATAATTATTATTGTATACATTGTATTGGTCAATTTCTTCTGCTAGCTTTTGATCTCTTTTTGAAATTGAATCGATCTCCTCCTCTTTTTTCTTCATTTTCTGTCTCTCTTCCTATAATTGTAATTATAATTTAAGTTGCTCAAAATACCATGTACTTAGTACAGGGAATTTCACCAAAAATTGTTAGAAGTGAATTCTCCATTTTTATAATTTTTTTCTGATACATTATACACATTTTCATGCAGTGTACAAAATTTGAGCTGATTTCGATGAAAATCAAATTAAAAAATTTTTTTTAAATAGCTCAAAAATTAGGGTCAAAGTCCCTGTACTACAAGTACAGAGACTTTGGCCAAATTTTTCTAAAAATGAAAAGAAGAGAATTCTCCATTTTAATAATTTTTACTGATACATATACATGTCTTCATGTTGTGTAAAAAGTTTGACCTGATTCCGATCAATTTAAAATTTTTAAAGAATTTTTAAAGTTGCCATATACTATATAGTCCATCAGAAAAGATTTATGATTCTACTACATTAGTAGTGCACTCAATATAAAAATTAATTTTTGACTAAATTGTATTTTATCATCTATTAAACTATTTTTAGATATTATATTTTTTAAATTCACTACAAGCAAGTGGTCTATTGCCAGTTTATTTGATGTGATGGCAAGCCTGTGCAAGCTAAATCCTTAAAAGTGGACCTTTCTGTAACCAAAGGAAACACATTCCTTTATCACATGCATTCATAACTAAGAACAAGAGAATGCCTGTAGGCTATAACAGGACTGCTTTGAGTGGCAACACTACTCTACTAAACAAGTCAATGGACCACATGAAAGATAATAACCTTGGCAGCAAAACCCATGCATTCTTAAAGTGACTGATATATTTATCAAACATCATGCTGCTAATGGGCATAGTAACATGATGATAGACACCTGTACAAATGAGCGCAAGCAAAAGCTTTTAATGACTCTTTTAGGAACCACATTCATCAGGTGAGTCTAGCCTGAGGGAACTGGCGCGACATGAGAGTTTTGTGTGTAATGCTATACAAGCAATAATAATGGAGATGATTGGCTTCAGTAACCATAGATGCAGAGTGTACGTGACGCAGACTGTAATATGACCTACCGCAGCTTTTCTGGCTTTCTCCGCCGGAGTGTCTGTCCAAACTGACCTGTCTCCGGTTTCTGAATATTTTGTCCGAAATTTTCTTGAAGTCATGCTCAGAGCTGTTGCTATGATGACATACATATAAGTGAGACAATCTAATGCACCAATATAGACATTGTGACAGAGGGTGCATGATGGCTATAATTATTATGATTATATTACCATTTGGGTTTATTTCTGGAGGGAGTTCAAGCATCCATTCTTCTCTGACTGGCTGAGATGGGATGTTCTAAAAGGGAGAAAACCAAATCAACAATAACAACAACATTATGCAATGATATGCAATGATGGTTTGACCAACAAAGCTAATTATACAGCTAATATTATATAATAAGTTGTACAATGTGAATAAGTCACAAGAGAATTTCCCACTCTTCAGAAACAATAAAGAACATGCGGTATGCATTGTATATGCATGACATGATGATAGTGAAAACAAGGAGCTATTTAGGAATACAAAGGATGACGTTGATAATCTACTGATCCTAATCTCATAGTGAAGGGGAAACATAAGTGTGTGTACGATTGATGCATAATGAAAACAATTCTGATTACATTGTGTGTGGATTAGAGTGACAACATTGACAAACATACAAAGACAAGCAAGCAAACACATTATTTCATGACTAATGTACACACAATACATCATTCATTCATACAATATCAACATGTGTTGGTTTACTTTCTGACCTTTGATTTTAATTTGCTTCTCATTTGATTAGCTCTGGCTTCAATTTCTTGTTTCCTTGTACTTTTCTCGGACTCCTGCATATCGAATTGAGCAGAAATATAAACCCAGCATCATAGATTCCGATTGTAACTTTATACTTCTGTAGATCATGCACTTCATTAAGATGGTAAATCAATACTCACAATGTTCACTAACAACAGTAATAGATGGATTTCTTGAGGTAAATACAGAGGAGTTAACACTGTTTATTGATTAAAAGATTACTGAGCTTCTTTAGGAAGGAAATACAAATTGGAGTTGCCCATAAGGGCCAATTCATTCACCATTTAAATAATGTAATGTCATTTCCTAATTTAATCAGCCTAGTATGCAAACAAATAGCTACATAACAGAACAGAGATTGATGCACTGTGGGCTATGTATAGTAAAGTAACATGACTGTGGGAATTACGTGTATTACTAGAGGTTATCAGGTTTCCCAATTTGTCAAACTCGTTTTCACAGTCACTCTATGCAGCATTTTAAGACAACAGGTATACCCAGGTGCATTATGTAACTGACCACTCAATTTGTACCTAACCTCATCGAGACTGGTGTTTGGTTGAGGTGGCAAAGGTCCAACTAAGTCATCTTCCTGATTAAGAGAAGGTGCTGGAGGATATTACAAGACATTAATTAAAGTCTGTGTGTTATTACAACAAACCCACACATCACATACATACTTATCATAGTGGCAGATGTACACGAGACACACAAACAACACGCATATCATGCATATTAGACAGTAAACACATACACAACACAGGTGTTTACATCTTACAGCTACTAGTTGTATGACCACTTTCATCAGGTGGCAATGGACCAAATGTGTCACTTTGACCATAGGTATGACCTGGTGGTAATGAAGGGCCGAATGTGTCACTTTTAGGACCAACTAGATCCTTTGGTAGTGAAGGGCCAAACGTATCACTTGTTGGTAGTGAAGGACCAATGACTTCTTTTGGCAATGAAGGACCAACCAGATCCTTTGGTAGTGAAGGGCCGAATGTATCACTTGTTGGTAGTGAAGGACCAATCATGTCTCTTGGCAATGAAGGACCAAATACATCACTGCAGTTGTCTTTCTATAACAATGAAGGAAAAGATAATTATTAAGTTATTTTGCTAATTTCTTGGACTTGGCTCATAACGTAAAAATTTGAACATCTATTTGAAAAAAAACTGACACGATATCATCAGAATTGCATAAGGGCATCATGCATAAGCATTGAAAACTCAAATAATATTGGAAGTTTTTGAAGCCATTTCATTACTTTAATTTAAATTGTGTCTAAAATCAACGTGCATTTATTTACTATTGTGGGTGGCAAAGAAGGACCAAATGTATCTTGACCACTGGAATCTTCACGATAGCCAGTAGGACCTGAATAATAGCTATAATGAACATTATTATAATACAAGACATTCATCCCTCACTTGACATTGCATTTACAAGCCCCACCTTTGATTGATCTATCTACATAGGCGTGGCAGACAAGCTGAGACAACTCTGAATGCTCTGATTATAGATGAGGGGTATTATTCCTATATACAAGCCCTCAGGAATAACATCATTTGAAGTTTGTGATACAATACGTTCTATACTATTAGGAGTAAGTGGAATATCAGCTCTTCCTCGAAACAAAGCACCCAGAACTAAATCTAAATTTAAGGTGGGTCATGGTGGGACGTTAGATAAAGAGGCTGAAGGTGTTTTAGTGGTGGGTGTTGGTGAAGATTGCAAGCATCTCTCTTCATTTCTCTCTGGGTCTAAGGAATATAGTGCAATTGGTATTTTAGGTAAAACTACAACAACTTATGATGCAACAGGAAGTGAGATAAAAACATCAACGTACGATCATGTCACCCAAGAGTCATTACAGAGAGTGGTTAGATCATTTGAGGGTGAAACACTACAAACACCACCTGTTTATTCCGCTCTTAAGATCAAAGGCCAGCGTGCATCCAACTTAGCCAGAAAAGGAGAAACCGTTGACATGAGTAGTAAGAGGAGACCTATCTGTATTTATCAAATCAAGCTGCAAATGTTTTCGCCTCCAGAGTTCGGCATTGTTTTATCCTGTTCTGCTGGTACATATGTGCGGTCTTTGATTTATGATATTGGCATCGCTTCCAAGACTGTTGCTTGCATGAAGTCATTATGTAGGACAAAGCAAGGCCCATTCACTCTTAGCCAAGCGCTCAAGCAAGATAACTGGACAATTGATTGCTTAAGCAATTTTGTATCATTTAAATAAATCAAAAATAAGTTAAAGAGAGATTGATTAAGGTAAATATTATGAAGCCAAAACTTAGGTTAAGTGTCTCATATTGTATTAATAATCATAATCATAAACAATAATAATAATAATAATAATAATAATAATGATAATAATGATAATTTACAATCAGTTATTTTTGATAGCGGACATCATCATTTGTTTAATTGATATTATTGCATGCCACAATTTTGCACTGGTCTCAGCATGTCAACAACCATTTTAGCACAATGAATCTTGCAATTGTTAATCTTTTTGACCTTGCTTTCCCTAGCAGTCAACCCATTGACTCTTCCTATTTGTATAATATAAGTAATGTAATGATATTTATTTTTATTACTTTGTAAAGCCATTCCAACACTCTTCTTTGCACAAGGGCTGTTATTGAATTCATCCGATGTCATGTATTGTATATTCTTTACTCCAGCATTTATCCAATTGTAGAACTGTACAGTGTTGTTTCTAGTGTCTTCTATTGCCATTCCAGTATCATCGTGACACAAGTATACCTTATGAGTATATTTAGTGCCGTTGCAGGGAGGAGGAGTAGGTCCGGATCCACTGAGTGCAGGAGGAGGAGCAGTGTTATCAACTAAAGGAAGTTACAGTAGAGTAATGCATCAAGAAATGTACATGAGAGCAATATTTTTGCTGTTTTACAGCAATACAGGTGTGCATGTTTGTCAGTAGCAAGGACTTACATGAGCAAGTGGGACAGCAGTTAACAGTGCGAGGGAATTCACCTGGTTTGCATGCAGGTGGAACAGGGCATTGTCTCTCTAAGCAAACAGCTCTAATCTTTGAATCCTGCATAATGAAAACAATGCAATCATTAGCTGTTGGGTCAAGTTTAAGGGGACAATGCGTAATGAAATTTATTGTTGAACTCACTTTGCATTGGCATGTAGTGCTGCACAAAATTATCCCATTTAGTTCTGGTGACCAGGTTTCATTCTTTTGACGAATATTATTAAATGCATCGAAGCATTCTAAGATAGAAGAAATGGATAATATCAAACAGCATGATTATTTAAATGACATACCTCCTTTTTCAGTATTGGCTGCAAGTGGCATAGAAAATAAAAAGGGAAATGATTAAAAGCGTTATAAATGATAATACTTACGAAGCCGGCATGTTTTGCAACAATGACCATCTGGAACAAATTGATTTTCCTCTGAACAACCAACTGGCTCTGGACAACTTGACTTAACATCTTGGCATTGAGCAGTACCATTCTAAAACAAAATGATAAAATGAGTTGAAGTACAGCATAATAGCTTACATTGCATTGACAGCTCATACAGTAGGGGTTAGACCCATCATTTCTGTGTACTGGATGAAAAATATCTCCATGTTCATAAGTCACATTATCTACAACACATTGATGATCATCATCACCCAGTGTAACTAGAAAAAATGGGAATAAAAATGTACCATAAAGTAATGGGGTAGCCTTACCATTTATACAACGACTGCAGCATTCTCCTGGCAGTTTGATATAATTGGAGCAATTCAGTTTTGGGCAAATAACTTGTGTGCACTGGACCAGTGATGTCTGTTGAGAATTGATTGGAGTAGAATTAATTTTGACAGCAAGAAAAATGAATGAAAATATCACTAATGCAAGCAGCTTCATTCTGTGACCTCTTTTCTTACTTTACTCTCTTTTCTGCTATAAGCACGCTTTTATGCCATTGGGCATTAAATATATTCACAGTTATGGAGCTATGAATACGTAATTATATAATAACTACATTAAACTACTATACTGTGATGTAATGCTAAACTTCACAATTGGAATGTACCATTCTATGCACAGTGTTTGGTATGTAGTAGATCTAGCTAGCTAGCTCTAGGTGCATGCAATGCACTACTTACTGGCTGGCAGGTGCAGATTGAGCAGGTGTTTTTGACCAATTTCTCATTCACAGTAATGGAAGGATTGAATTTTTCACCAATCTCGAATGTTTGGTCTCTGTAGTTGCAAGACTTGAACCCAGGGACCCAGATAGGCTTTACTGTACCTATAAAAACAAATGATTAATGATGCAATTATTGCTATGGCAAAAGTTAGTAGAGCCATAGATACTGCATGGAGTTAGTGCATGCATGTGCCCTTACTGTTGTATACACCAAAGTTACTACTTGCTGCAGTGAGGGAGAGAAGAGCAGCCAATAAGCTTATAGAGCTTAGCATTGAAGAGGACATTATTGCATATACACTGTGATAATGTTGCTATGAAGAGAGAGAGAGAGAGAGACTAGAGGTCCTTCCTTTATAATAATCCTTCTTGTGTCAGCTGATAACTGGTTCAGATTGTGATTCTATGGGAGCAATCACTCTCATTTATATAGTAGGAATGTTTACCTAGCTATTTTATGCTTGAATGGTGCTACATAGTACACAACATTGACATGTATATCATACATGTACTACCAAATACTACACCCTGTAGCCCTGGGGCTATTTTCAAATTAGCTGTCATAGGCTATAAATAGAAAATTATTTTAGTTTACACAAAACATGCATATTACAATCATTATTATTGTTTTGGGCAAATCCTTCCTATCAAATGTTTATTTTCTCATCATTATACTGAAGGGGATTAAATCACACAACAACAGACCCATGATGTACTCATGTCACATGACAACAATGTCCTCTCGAATAAGCAAACAGGTTCTTTTTGTGTGATTAACACACACATGATAATAATATTAATAACAATAATAATGATAATAATAATAATAATAATAACAATAGTAGTGGTCATAATTGGACGTCTATTTTAGTTCTCATCGTCAGTTTCAGCTTCAATATATTCAAAAGGTTCAGGAGGCGGAGGCTCCTCGCTTTCATCATCTAATACAACTGAGAAACAAAAAAAGAGAGAAAGAGGAAAGGAGAGAGAGGGGAAGGGAGAGAAAGAGAGAGGAGGGGGAAGGAAGCGAGAGGATAATAAATAAATATACCCGGCAGAAAGGGAATGACAGAGACAGTCGTGGGAGTCATACGAGACTATTACAAGTACATGTACACTTTACATGTCCACTTGTGAACGTGGGAAATGTCTCATTAACTAGAAAGCATCCTAAGCATGTGTCATAGCACGTCTGGGCATTGATGTACGGATATGTAAAAGAAAAGTGGAAGTAGGTTATTAAAAACTATTAACCTTTCAAAGGCTCAATGAGTTCTTCCTCACTCGTGTCAGTATACTTGAGTAATAATATGCCACCACTACTAACCTGTGGAGAAAGGGACAAGGAATGGGGATAGAGAGAGAAGGGGGAATACATATATATAGAGAGAGAAGGGGGAATACATATATAGAGAGAGAGATGGGGGAAACAAATAGAGAGAAGGGGATAGAGGGGGAGAGACATAGGAAAAGAAATGAGGATATAGAGACATGTAGGGCAGAAACAATGTAAATATGAAAGAGAGGGGTCAGCAGGGAGGGGCAATACTCCTAATAAATCAAGGAGTGTTCCAATGTCTCCCACACCAAACAAATAAACAAAACCAAAGAGCGTGTGTCAATAGAACCTGCGGTGTCTCCCAACATATGTCTGACAACACATAGTTGGTTTAGAAAAAATAAATAATAATAATTATATTATTTATGCTCATAGTGCATGCCTTTGTTTAAACAGAACGTGGCTTCAGGGAACAAAATAACATTTATTTATTTATACACGAGCATTTGCTGGAGGGAATAATAATAATATTTACATGTAAATGCAACACACCAACGCATACATATCAGACATGCTACGCAGTTGCATTGTATATACAGCAATGAATGATGTACATGTAAGAGTGGGAGATGAGATATGATAATCAGTCATTGTCTCCCAATCCAATTAGTGAGTCTGGATTGTAAGCAGAGAGAGAGAGAGAGAGAGAGGGAGTAGTAAAAATACACTAAACATACATGCAGGATATATTACATACAAGACACTGACTCTATATGCATCAAACTATCCAATAGGTTCAAGCATGTGTAGAGTGAGTAGACCATTGCATTGTACTATAATAGTGTTGCATAGCTGAGTGTATACGTGCATTTCTTTTCGGCATCACAAACAAACCAGTCAAGTGTTATTGTGTATACAAAGCTAGGATACAATATCGAGGGTTATTTGAGCAATATGTAAAAAGAAAAGCACATCACGTCGCGAGCTTTAAAGTGTAATGGAATAAGAGGAGGATACACACTTGAGTGGCAAAGATGCACAGGATTATCAAGACATAACATTAAAAGTAGGTGAAATATGGAGGAAACAGCCCATTTTAATTTAAAGGAGAGTTGATTCTTTAACACTAAACTGGCAATTCAAAACTTGTTAGCTCACAAGCAGTGGCAAAAATAAATAAATTTTTGATCTCCTACGCTTGGGAAAAAGATCAAGGAGCCATCTCCTTACCTCCCCCTTAGGCCATCCCTTCACCTAAAAAGTACTGTACCAGTAACCACTTTAGTGTCACATGAGTCTTGGAGGAAGGAGAGAGAGAGAAAGAGAGGGGGGAAGTGGGGGAGAGAAAGCATATCTGTCATGTGTGAAAACATATAAGATTACTCTGGAACATCAGTAACTGCAGCTGGAATTTAAACAATAAAACAAGTTTTTTGAATTCCAACACACATAAGAAGACACACAATACAAAATATACGTATTAATAATGGTGAAACAGACTTTCCTTAACATAAAAACAAGCAAATCACCAAACAAGAGAAAAAGAGAGGGGGGGGGAGAGATGTTATTGCAATGGCAAACAAACAGAGTTACTAATTCAATTGAGCGATGTACTATACCATCACTATTCAAGAGTGTTTTCATAATGTAGGTGTGCAATACTGTCATATGAGAATAGGGTGCACGACCTGTTTCCAACTAAATCAACCAAACACAATTACATGCATGTACATGTACATACATCCTTCCTGTTTATTGCACAAGCTATAGTCAATTCATTTTGTCTTTTAAGGACATTTCGATTTTGCGTAATGTCACTATACCTTGCCTTTTAAGGGTATGCATGTAATGTGCGATGAGGAAACGAGAATCATGTGGTAAGAGAGAGATAGGAATGAGAACCATCAGCTGGAAGTGGACTTGAGCTAAATGAATGAAATGCCAAATCATTTCCCATCATTAAAACTACCTCACTCCACAGCAATCCAGACCCAGCAAAGTGTATAATTAATGAACAATACATTCCAGGTGTTCGATTGTTCAAACCACATGGTTACAAAAATAGTGTAGAGCAACAATACTGTATTAATGTGCCAATAATCTCAATGTGTGTGTGTGTGTGTGTGTGTGTGTGTGTATTTATATCAATATATCAGACATCGGTCATTACATAAATTCTCGTTCTCTCTCCCCCTTTCTCTCCCACCCTAAAAGTTTTAACAATAGACCAGTGGTGCTTAACGACGCAAAGAGAAGGTCAATGACCATCGACTGACGCTGGATCACGCCACCAGACAAACCTATGAGAGGAGTAACTGGGCAATGGCCAAGGAGAACAGATTGGGAGAGGCACGTGTACAACAATATGACTTGTGCATACAAGCATTGTTAGAGGGTAGGGTGCGAATATTATTCAATATGCCTCCACAAGCATTCATTCACACCTGATCATGTACCCCTACCTACCCATACTGGTGTATTATATTGTCATGGTAATCCTCTAACCACAGGAATGACATAGGCTCATTCCAAGCATAATAATAATAGAGAAAAAGGAGGAAGCAAGAGGGAGTGAGAGAAAGACATGCAACCGATAAATGCAGGAGAAGGAAGCATATGCAGATAATGCAGTCCATGCATGTACATATACATGTATGTGCTATAATTCCAGACAATGGATAAGTACTATTAGTTTTACTATAGATAAAAGGAGTAAGTGTTGGAGACAGAGAGGAGTGACAATTAAATAATTATATAAAAGTGACTTATGCCAGACGGGGCAGCTGGTAAATATTCAAAATACGCCAGGCTTGACTGACATCAAATTCAGCTATTATGATAGCTACAACCAATAGTGAGGAAACCAGAGTAAACAAGGATAGCCACCATACATCACCTCTTAGTAAAAATGTGACCACTCCAATCAAGGATCAATTATATCCATGGTTTCCAAAGCGGTGGAGGATAAGAACGTCCTACGTGGATTGCTAATTTTGTTATTGCCACCCACATGCTAGATTGGTCATGCGGAAAGGCCACAAGATTCTTAATCCAAAGCCACAGCTAAACAAATAGAGACCGTTTCTGAGCAACGTTGCATAATAACGCTAAAAATGAAATATCGACAAAATTATGTTTTATGGGCTGGTGATACATGAAACCGCATCTTTCTTTGAGGTAAAGTTGGCATTGGGTGTACCTAAGAAAAAATAAATTATGCAGCGAACAAAGCGTGCTTCAATTTCGATGGCAATACATTCGAAAATTCTTTGCGAATTACATGTAAGATAATCCCCACTACACAAGGCAAAAACCACTAAGCATGCATTAACCAAGAACTTGATAGAGTAAACAGGAGGTTCAATTTTGGATGAAATAAGTAGACTTTAACAAGCTGGCATGCCGCACTGCGTAGGGCTCTGATTGCATTAACCAGTAAAACCAGAAATGGATAATTAAAACCAAAAATAGAAAGATTGCTAGATATGCTTCATTTTCAATGATTGGTACAACGTGCGGTTTAAAGTGAGAGGGGGAGAGAAAGGGAGTGAGGAGGAGGAGGAGGTGAGGGAGTAGCTAAAGGTTAAGAGGTATGTCACAGGCAATGATTGCATGCATATTGGTCAGTATAACAACAATTGGTCCATGTAATGTGCAATGCAATGAGATTAGAGTGGGGGAGAGGAGAGAAAGGGGTAAAGTACAAGGGAGAAACAGAAATTATTATTAACTTGGCAGTTGAATGTTTTTTGTAATCAAGTCACGGACTGTGACGACGATTCCCTCTCTCCTTACAATCAGCTTGCAATACACACACACAATACATTACACACATAAAGTGAATTAGCTGACAGAGATAGTACAAGCTAGCTACATAGTGGGACTATATGATTAGCTAATGCTTGTATGTACAAGGATTTGTGTGTGGTAGGACTTGCAATCAGTGGTTCAACTTAGCAGTATGTTCATCATCAGTGAGTGCATTTGTGTGTCATCAAATATATCTGTGGGGCATATATGCAAGTACATGCATATGAACCAGAGTGGTTTGGCATATGCCACAAGGAAATAGGAGCAGTAGTATCTATTACCTTTAAGTTTTATCTGTTGTCTTTATTGTGTGTATGCGTGCACTTACGGGTTTTATTGGCTTGTAATGTGTGCTGGTTTCCAAAGAGAGGACTTTTAGCTGGAGGGAAAAAAAGAGACACAACCAGTTCATAATTAATCATCACAATAAACTTAGACATAACATGTGCGTGACATAATGTACATAAAGCTTGGATTATAGCATTATATACGTTACATAATTTATTTATTTTACGAGTAATAATATAAAAAAGAAGTACATGTAAGTATTTAGTGGTTTTTTGAAGAATGCTTTAATGAATTACAGAATTAGCCCGCTATGCATAAACCACAATCTTAAAATTAATCAAGCGAATGTGACTACATCTCAATGCCATGTGAATCCATGTATCATGGATACGTGATACTGGCTCTTACCCCTACACATTAAAACATAACAGAATTCCTGAATGTAGATGTACATAGCTACACATGTTTTAAAATCAACTCCACTATGACGATTAATAATGTCTTAGTTTTTATTTAGACAGCGATTACTCAGTAGACCCAAAATTTCTACATAGCATAAGGACATCAATATGTATCAGAAAATGTAATAAAAATTTGGGGTGATTTCAGAGCCATTTTTTGGAAAAAACCATGGACTATAGCCTTGGGTATTTTTCAGAATTTTAGTGTTTTTTTAAAATGGCCGTAACTTGAAAAATTGAAGTCGGAATCACCTCAAACTTTCTACACAGCATAAGGACATCAATCTGTATCAGAAAATGAAATAAAAAATACGAGTGATTTTGGAGCCATTTTTTGGAAAAAACCATGGGCTATAGCCTTAGGTATTTTTCAAAAATTTGGCATTAAAAAAAATGGTCATAACTCAAAAAATTAAAATCAGAATCGACTCAAACTTTCTACATAGCATAAATACATCAATATGTATCAGAAAATGTAATAAAAATTAGGGGTGATTTCGGAGCCATTTTTTCGGAAAAAGCATGGGCTATAGTACAGGGTATTTTTCAAAAATTGGCCTGTTTCTTAAAATGGCCATAGCTAAAAAAATTGAAGTCAGAATCAGCTCAAACTTTTTACACAGAAAATGTAATAAAAAACCACAACTTTATTACATTCCTAATATCTAGAATATATATATATATATATATATATAATGTACATAAATGCAGATGCCTGATTGCTATATAGAGTGTTTGAGCTAATTATTCTGTCAAGTACAGGTTCCAAGAAGAGAGTAGCAGATCATACAACACTTACACTGCTGGCTAATGGAATGGTCAGTAACATACCATTAGACAGGACCAGGTGTTTCTAAGCAATTTAAACTGAGTGTTTATTTATGATGACTAAATACATGTATATCATATTCAGTCTTAGCAAACCCCACACAGACATGTCCATTAATTAAACAATGGTGCCGTTTTATTGGAATGAGCACTCTACAACAGACACAACATTAACCCACAGGCCACCAAACACACACTGTACATGTCCATTAATTAGTGGCTTTGAATAGCAAAAAAAACATATATAGAATATCGTGACCTAAACATGCCCCACACCTATTGTTCACCTATTGTTCACCTATTGTTCACCTATTGTTCACCTTTTAACATTCACGTCAACAGAACCAATAGATATCAATAATAATACATTTCCATTAGTAAAACCATACAGTGTACATAACTGTGGTATGTTGGCATTAGCCTAATGCTACCTGTTGTGGTAGGACTCTAGCTGGGTTAGACAGCATCTCAAAGAGTGGCTCTGGTTTCTTCTCTTTGGCTGATTCGTCCTTTGGAGGAGGAGCAGAATCCTTATCCTTATCTCCTTCCTGATCCTAACATGTATCCAATACATATACACACACACACATGCTATATACTTACGACTTCCATCAATTCTACAGCCGATCCTCCTCCTCCTGTTTCTCCCTCTCCTCCTGCTTCTCCTCCTGTCCCTCCTCCTCCTCCTCCTCCATCTGACGTCATTTCTTCACTCGAAGTGTCAGCTTGTGATTTCTTAGCTTTACTCTTTGCCTTTTTAGCTGTCACTGATAACACAGCAGTGGCTACCTACACACACACACACACACACACAAAAAGACAAAAACAAATGCATCTACATGTACGTGTAAGGAATGAGCTTCAAAATAGCAGAGTGAGTATGTGTGTATATGTACATGAAAACAAAGCATGTATGCTACATGCAATACCTTGCCCCTTTCTTTCTCCTTCTCCTTCTCAAGGTTAGGTACATAGGCGTATTGAGAGGGACGAGCATTAGACTTAAATTGTATCTTTGGCATCTACATAATTATACACAAACCAATGTGAGCATACACACACAAAAAGAGGTACGAATCTAATACTTTTAATTGTGCGTTTAATCCAATGACGGCAGTCGGTGTGAAAGCAAGAGACAAGAAGTGAGTAAACGGGAACCAGAACCAAAACTGAGAGAAAACCAGCAAACCGATGACAGTCCGTAGCTGAGTGTGTCCAGTACGAGACTGCAAAGCCAGAGTGACATTACGCCCACCTAATTAATAAAAGGACATCATATAGCACTTTATTATTTTATTATTTTTTATTTTCAAAAGTTGAGCAAATTATAAAAAATTAATTTTTCCCAGAAATAACTTTTGCAGATTAGCAATGTTAGCACCATGCTTTTGAATATTTAATGGAGCTTTAACTTCACGGCTGCAGCTAATTTGTGAAAACAACAAAAGTTTTGCTCCTTCAAAGTAAAGTGCTATACGGTACACATAAAATACTCTATTGCTATGTGTCACTGATGATATAAGTATATAGTCCATAGTGACGCACTAACAGTACTACAATGAATTTAGTGTGATTCTGTAATAATTAGAGTAATATACTCCCAGTCAAAATATTAGCGGATCAACCAGGCCGTCAGAACTAAGCGTACATTCATGTTTATATGTTAACATTAGTATAATCAGAGGTATAACCAATGCGTCTATACTAAATAATACACATGAGTAGTAGTAGGGGCGAGACTTTACGGAACTAACATATGTCACACGGCGCCAGAACTACGCATCTAGAGGCCAACAGACAGAAGGACTAACCCCTGTTCACATTCTTTCCCTCTCCACTTGTCTCTATAGCGATCCATCAACATAATTAGGCTAATTTCACAATCCCAGACTATGTGAATGCATGCCCTCTGTGTGTGTATGTGTGTGCATACAAAGTCTGATTTTACATTGCTGAGGAATGTAGGGTAGGGGGTGGTTGAATAACTAATAGCTAGAAATCACAAACAAGACTCAAATAAAGGAAAACGTCATGAGTAATGCGACTCAGATATGTCACGCACTGGTACAACAATTATACACTGCTTAACACTGCAACGTGCCCTAGTAGTAACAGTACAGTGAAACTGATGCTCTGTTTATAATGACGTCAACTATCAGTATGTCTTATGCATAACAAACACGGGCCAATTGATCCTGATAGTAAAAACTGTTCAATTATCAACAGTGATAATGGGCCATAAACACTAGGCAATTATTCACCAGGTACTACTTAGCACTAAAATAACTGACACTAGAGAACATGTGCCTGGGGTCAGTGTGAGTCAGTGGAGACTGCTAGAGGAACTGTGGTTCTAAGCAATAGACACTGTAGTCATTAGAAATGGGAACAATGTAATCCTCTGAAATTGTTTGCTTAAACATTGCACAAGACTCGTCCTATTTTACGTCACAAACACTTCAGAGTGTCCTCACTGTACAGCATATGATGACTTAAATCTCTGGTCTCACACACAAATGAATTCATCCTGAAATAACAGCAACAACAATTGCACGCCTCAAGACCTCCGTATTTCATAATAGTAACAATGATCATGTAGGTACTATACTTACTGGATGAAAGAACACATGACCATACACCATGATTCCCCCATGTGGCACAATTGCCAAACTACCTTTTCACATTTTTCAGTACAAGTTCATTATTACTACAAATTCCAATGTACATGTACATTTCTCCTAATCTGTATCACATTGTTTGGCATATTTCCAGTTCTCTTTATCAGAATCAGCTAGATGCTTTCAGATTCCATTAAAATACTCCCTCTGTGGTTGCATGCATGTAAAGCATGTGCATAGGATTCAGGAAAGCCTATAATAATAATACAGTACATGACCTGAGACCATGAACCCTGACACCTGACTGAGACAGACAGGCATACCATCTTCACCTCATTAACTCCTAATCTTAATAACGTACAGCTGCAGGCCATGTATCAGCTGCTAGTATACACGTAGGCTGACATTGAACTAAAGCACAGCTGCTAGTGAAATCCCAATTATCGCTGGCATACACGATTGGCCGGGCTATGGAATGCCTTCCTGGCGTCATCACTGGCAAAACATTTCTAAGAATTCAATGTGACCACCAAATTAAAAACAAAATGAAATAATAATTGCTATACTATAGTATAACGTACGGCATGAAATTTAAAATATTCAGTACATAAACAAACACTTGAAGACAAAAAAAGCCAAACTGATGAGGAAAGAAGATATACTATTACCACACACATTAGAGGGCAGGGGGACTAGAGAACACAAGTTGATAGTACAAATGTGACTATTATTATAATACAGTATATAGTGGCTAAAACTATAGGTGTACCACTGTACATTAACATTTATACTAATAAAATGTACACGCATGATTTTTAATCATATTATCACCATACTATATTCCCAATAATAAACAACCCATAGTTCTGCCTGGGACAACCACCTCAACAAATGAACCAACCAGTTCATCACTTAGACCAACCATAATAACCGTACATAAAGCATGATATTGTAGTCTACTAGTATGGTGTACATACATTTAAAAGGAACATTATTAGTCTCCAACCACCTCTAATTTTTTTGTAGGCAGAACCCTGACAACCATGTACATGTATGTACATTGCATATGTATGTACATGTATACATATCATAAATACAGTATCCTATACCTGCATCTATTATCCCTTGGGCTAAGATGGCACCAAATTTAGCGACAGAGTCCTCAAGTCTATCACCGATAATCCTGGCATAAGCCTTCCTGATCTCTGTGACTTTGTTATTCTTAGACATGCTGTCATTGTGTTGTATGAGGACCATAGCTGATGCAACCAAAGCACCCTTTAATGAGAGAGAGAGAGAGAGAAGGAGGGAGGGAGAGATAGAGGGAGAGAGAAGGAGGGATGAGAGGAGGGAGGGAGAGATAGAGAGAAAATGAGAAAAAGAGGGAGAGAGAGGGGGAGGGAGAAAAAGAAGGAGGGAGAGAGAGAGAGAGAGGAGGGAGAGAGAGAGAGAGGAGTTAGGGAGAGATAAAGGGATAATGAGAAAAAGAGGGGGGAGGAAAAGAGAGATAAAAGAGAGAGTGGGAACAAAGCATACCAAATATTAGAAGGAGAGTCAGTGGGGGGCATGGAGGTGTGTGAAAAATGTAACATGCAACAAATATCATTCTTTAAACCAAATGGCATGACGGCAACAAATTAGTCTGGGAATAAAACGTCAAGCATGACACAAGGATTGCTTTATTCATAAATAAATGAGATCCTTACAGACTTTTAACCAAATATAGCTATGTGATCACCTTCCTTTTCACAAAAGACACATGACACTACGTGCATGCATGCAGATGTGCATGCATGCAGACGTGCATGCATGCAGACGTGCATGCATGCAGATGTGCATGCATGCAGATGTGCATGCATGCACGAAATGAGAGGGAAAAGGTCCAATTAGAATTATTGTTACTTAACAATGTCAGGACATAACTAATTGGCACTAATCCCTCTGTTCTTCTGAATAAATATTTGTGTGACAGATACATGAGAGGTGGTTTTAATGCATGCATGTATATGAACTACTGTACGTGAAGTGTATGTACATGTACATGTACATTATACATGCATGTGAAGTGTACACATACCTGCTGCACAAAAGGGACGGAGTCATTAAACATTGGTTCAAGGATTGCCAGTGCTTCCTATTAATTGAAAAGAAATTAATCAAATCAAGTTATAAACACGCACATCACACAACAATTAGAATTAATTAATCTAATTATACGTGTACATGCATGTACATGCATGTACATGTGTGTGTGTGTGTGTGTAATAATAAGATCACCTTGTTACCACTGGCTGCACAAGCAATACCAAGAGCTAGAGCAGCCCCACACCTCATGTGAGGATTGAAACTCTCAGCCAGTAATGAGACTACACTAGGACACTGCTCTGGATTCCTATGTTAATCATTATGTCACGTGAAAGCTAGTCGTATTGTGTGAAGGTAAACTGACCTGAATAGAATGAAGCCAATGCTAGTAACAGCAGACCTTCTTACATCACTGTCAACATCACTGACCTGTCGTTGCATACCAGTAAAACCCAGTAAAACTCAGTAAAACTCTGAATACTTACAGCAACATGAAGTAGCCTTTTAACAGCAGTGGTATCGCCTGTTCCACAATAAGCCATTGCAACAGTAAAGATACCGGCTCTCCTTAACAAAGGATCCTAGGACAATAAAACAGCAAATAAAGGCTCACAATTACTATCGTGAGAACTGAGAACTGCATTAAAAATAGATTCACACATTTGGTTTTAATTGGATCTTAAGTTACCAGTTAAGTATAACACAATAATATTATATTATAGTGGTCGCTGTGTGTGTGGATGGATCACATTTTGTCTTTAATATAAGGTTACACTGACATGTGACCACATCAATATACCAATCTCTGGTGAGGCCTCCTTGCAATAACAAATTCCCCTCCACCAATAAATAAACAAACTAACAAATATGCGTTCCTTAAGTTTTACAGACAAACCGTAAAGCTTTGAAGTGAAAATAGACCTAAAGGATGGTGTCATGGCTACATGTATATGCATGATTTTAGAGTTATCATTGGTGCCCAAAAGATATGCCAATTTCTGAAAAGAACCAACTAATACTATTAAAGTACATACATGTAAGTAACCTTGCAAAAAAGCCATGCACTTACACTTCGTAAAAATTATATTTTTAGTGCATGTAATTAAGATCATTTTTATCCAATTCATATGTACATGTACATGTATTATATCATACCTTATGGTGGCAGAGTTGTTCAATTGCAGTATTGGCCTGCTCAAGTTGTCCATAGAATAGCTGCATGAAATAAATAAAATAATTCAATAAACAATAAAGAATGCAATAGCAATAATGTATGTTCTTATGTTGTGTAGAAATTTTGGGATTTTTTATGCACATAAATTTCAACTTTGCTCTAAAATTTGGGCAAAGACCATGTACTAACAGTCTAATACTAAAGGATATTTCATAAAAAATGGCTATGAGAAAATTATCCACGTCATTACATTTTGATAAATATACATGTACTTATGTTATAGCTATATACCATAGCAATCCCTAGAGATAAGCCTCTTTGTATCTTCTCATGCTGCGTTTCTGAAGCATACTAGGAGAGAATACAATATACAGTACATCTAAAACAATTAAACTAATAATAAAGAATAATAATAAAGCAGGATTTCCCACATGATTTAATTGGCATAGTACTCAGCTTCTTGTCAGTAGTTTGCTGGAAAACTGGGCCAAAGACCATACCCTGTACTATATACAGGGTATTTCGCCAAAAATGGCTTTAGTGAATTTTCCATTTTTATAATATTTCCTGATACATATGCATGTTCTCGTGTTGTGTAGAAAGTTTGAGCTCATTCTGATAAAAATTGAATTTTTTATGGATCTTAAAAGTTGCTCAAAAATTGGGCCAACGACCAAAGGCAATAGCCTTTGGTCATTGGCCAAATTTTGTCAAAAATGGCAGGAGAGAATAATCCATTTTTATAATTTTTTCTGATACATCTACATGTTCTCATGCTGTGTAGAAGGTTTGAGCTGATTCCAATCAAATTTGGATTTTTTATGAATTTTTAAAGTTGCTCAAAAATTGGGCCAGCGACCAAAGGCTATAGCCTTTGGTCGTTGGCCAAATTTCATCAAAAATGGCTAGGAGAGAATACTCCATTTTTATAATTTTTTCTGATACATCTACATGTTCTCATGCTGTGTAGAAGGTTTGAGCTGATTCCAATCAAATTTGGATTTTTTATGAATTTTTAAAGTTGCTCCATACGCTATAAGGCTTGTCAGTTCAAGAAGCATGCTTATTAGCTCACTTAGCATGAATTGTGGGAACCCCAATAATAAATACAATGAGATGAATAAATATAATACAATATAGGCTAGCTCATACCTCAATCATATCTTTGATTGCCGTTTCAGAGCAGGTCCCTAACATAACTAGACCCATACCAACTCCGGCAGCTTCTCCAACAACTGCATCATCTTGACTCAAATTATCCTTCAATAGCTGATACACATCTGCACATGAATATAATGACGAGGGGAGAGTGGGATTACAATATTAATTACAAGTTACAACTGCAATAAATAGACTGTACACATTAATTTAATTTTAAAAAATGAATACATGTACATGTACATGTACATGTGCATGTACATGTACATGTACATGCACATGTACATGTACTGTACAGCTCCGAATTTTCGTCAGTCAAAAATTTTGTGAAGATCTCAATTTCTTGTTAAAATTAATTTTTGTTGATGAAATTTCCGTCACGATTATCACATGTAAATCCAACATAAAGCAAAAAATTTCACCAAGCAAAAAAATTCTTGAAAAATTCAATAAATTTTTGACTAAAAAATTTGGAGCTATAAGGAACATGTACATATACTGTACATGTGTACCATATATCCTTAAATAAAGCTGGATGCAAATAAATGCCGGGGTAAAAGCCTTGTAGATACTTCTTTAGGCTCCTGAAGTCATGCGTGTGAGGTCACTGGTTTGAATCCCGCTGTTGGCTTTAGTTTTATTTTATTTTTTAAATTTTTTCGAGGTCCAAATACCATTCTAAGAAATAGACGCCCGGGCTTTTATTTAAGGAAATGCAGTATACATGTATATATGTGGCTAACCTTGATCAGCAGTGCCCATTGCTGCAAGACCTAACCCCAGACAACCACCATGCTTTACTATCTATAGAATGCATACAGTATATAGTACAACAGAGTATTAATTAATATTATTATTATTATTATTATTACTTCATTCTGATTGACACGTAGTTCCTTAGTAAAATATTCTATCATTTTCTGACCATGATTTGCATAAATTAACCCTGCCATAAATAATAATAACAATAATAATTAACCCTGCCATTAATAATAATAATAATAATAATTAATCCTGCCATTAATAATAATAATAATAATAATAAAGTATACCTAAGGCATACAAAGCTCCTCCTTCTTGGTAAGGACTCCCTGGAGAGTCCTTTGGGAGATAGGAACTTAAAAGATTTAGAGCCAATTTCTCGTGTCCCTAAAAATGGAATAATTAATAATGCTGATAATAATAATTTATTCCTGCAAAGCATGCTAAAAGGGCTAAATACAGTAGGTGTGGGGCAACTTTTAAAATTATATTTTAACTCAAAGTTGCTAAGCAAACAGGAAAAATTATAAAAATGAAAAATAATTATTTTCATTTATAGCAAAATTTGACCAAAGACCGTCTTTGGCCTAATTTTTGAGTAAATTAAAAAATTTGTAAAAAATTTAATTTTGATCAGAATCAAATCAAACTTTCTAGACAACATAAGTACATGTATATGCATCAAAAAATTATTTAAAAATGGTGAATTCTCTCCTTTTCAATTTTGACAAAATACCCTGTACTGGTATTTGTCAAATTTTAAAGAATCATTAAAAAATCCACTGACAAGGTGCTGAGCACAATGCCAAAACCCTAGGAAAAACTTTATTAATGGTAGTATTAATTGCAGGAAATAAATAATAATGATAACAATAAATAATAATAATAATAATAACAACAACAACAACAACAAAATTTAAACATCAATATATCCTACGTAATGTATGACTCCAAGACTAGCAGTGGCTAGGAACTTGCCCCAGTTAGAGGCACGCTTCAACCAGTCAAGATTCTCACGCAAGAAGACGTCACTAGTGGTACCATAGTGCATGAAACCATTGGCTATTACTGTAGCATTGTGGGTAATGGAATTACGACCAGCTTCCTATGAAGAGAGAGGAAAAATAAGATAAGAAAAAAAGGAGTAAAGAAATGAATATACATATTTATCATACTTTAGTGTTTTTAAGTATTTGCAGGTCGGAGTGATTATTACGAATAAGGAACTCCTGGTGAAGATTCACTGTGTTTTCGCCCTTTAAAACATTACAGACAGTCTTGAGACGGGTCACCCATTCTTCTTCTACCACTTCATCTTTTTTCTCTTTAACTTTATCAGTAGATTCATTCTCCTAAATACAATAAATATACTATTACATGTACATGTACGCATGATAGTACTTTTGTATCGGGTGCCTTTTCCCCATCAGTTGAAGGAGCAGTCTCAGTATTAGTATCAGCAGCTGCATCTTTGCTAGTAGTCCCATTATCAGTAGTATCATTATTAGTACTTTTACTAGTGCTCTCAGTTTTATTGCTACTGTCAGTTGCTGGAGGAGGGGGCCCTTCAATGTCCATTGGCTCCACCTCTTCACTAATAATGAAAAAATATAAAAAAATATAATTAAAAATAATACCATATACTGTAGCTGGGGATTACTGTTGGCTGTTGTAACATGCAATGAGCAAAATAAATCAATAAAAATCAACCATTTTGCTTCATGCTCAATGACACATGATGGTAGCTTTATCCCCAATATAAAACTCCACCAATTACAAATTTTTCCCAAAGTTAAACTTCAACCAATATTTCAGGCTATACTTGTACACGAACATGTTTCAATGTCTATACCTTGGATTGGATTCTGCATGTTCCTGCTTTACTGGTTCCTGCTTTGATGCTGCTCGGGCGGCACTGACCACACCCCTCAGGTACTTTTGACTGGAACTCTCGTAAAGATCAAAACTGATTTGACAGGCAACCAGGAAGTCATCACTAGAGCCGCGACAGAGCCTCTCGAGTATTTGAGCAGTTGGTTCCGGGTCATCAAGAAATATATAACACTATTATAAGACCAATTTTAGTGACAGCTATTTTTAGTAATATACGACTATTTTTAGTAACATATGGCTATTTTAGCAACATGTGGCTATTTTTAGTAACATAGCTATTTTTAGCAACATATGGCTATTTTAGTAACATGGCTATTTTTAGCAACATATGGCTATTTTTAGTAATATATGACTATTTTTAGTAACATATGGCTATTTTTAGCAACATATGGCTATTTTTAGTAACATGGCTATTTTTAGCAACATTGGCTATTTTTAGTAACATGGCTATTTTTAGCAACATATGGCTATTTTTAGCAACATATGGCTACTTTTAGTAACATATGGCTATTTTTAGCAACATATGGCTATTTTTTGTAACATATGGCTATTTTTAGTAACATATCGCTATTACCTAAAATGTAATACAGGCATACCTGGCATATATTTATGTAGTCTGGGCTCTTGAGATTAGAATATATATTAACTAAAACCTTTAAAACCTGAAACAATTAATAAACAAATAAATAAAGAAATACCATTAATTATAATCATTCACATAGCATATAACTTACAGTAGTTTGGAATCTCTTGCTATTAAGTAACGACATTGCTATGTTTAGGCAATACGACAGCATCTGCTTACAGTCTTTCTAAAAATAGAAAAATAACCAATAAAATAATAATTAATAATAATACAAATCATAATTGATAATTGATATCCTACTGCTTCTAATATGGCCCTCTCCAGTATATCAATCCTCCTTGTTTCAAAGGCAATACCAGCTGCCTGGTGATAGTGTCCATCGCCAAAACACTTTTCAAACATTCTATTAACAATAGACTCTAGCCTGGGGTCAATGTCCTTCTCTGGACTGTTAGGATTATCATAATTCTCAACACGCAAATGAGTATAATGATCAATACACTTAGCTAATGAGAGAGAGGGGGAGAGAGAGAGAGAGAGGGAGAAAGGAAATTAATTAATGATAATAAATATAAAATTACATAATTAAAGGAATTGGTATGCATCAAAATAATTACATAATCAAAATGATTACATAAACAAAATTTTATTTTGGTTTTATTTTTTTCATTTTTTTTTTGGAAGAAGCTCTTAACTATACATGTGTCCCATGGTCACATTTACTAATGTAGTACTACATGTACATGTACTGACAGGTTGTAAATGATGAGAGATACAACTCACATATTATGGTCTCTGTGTATTCAGATGTTCCGGTCACGTCAAACATAGAGCCAGCATTGAGAGCAAATAATAAAGAATCTTGTAATGATCCCAAATGATAATAGACCTATAAAAACAAGAATGTACACTCAAATGTGTGATTCAGTTTCAATGACGTCGGTAGCAATTATACTAATGATATTAAGTGTTGCATTGTTTGTGTACCTTTGAAGCAACGAGAGCTGATAATTCTCTCTGTGGAAACTGGACATTTTCATACAGAGACTCACTACGCATGTAAAATAATAAATTATATAAAGTAACAAAGATCATCACGACTACTTCATCTACAATCACAATAATTAATTTTATTACATTTTAACAATGGCGTCAGATATCTCAGGCCAAAATTCGTCCACTAAATCATTGAGCCTTGAGAGAGCAAATATCTGAATGTCCTTTTCTGGCTCATCAAGGAGTGAGAGAACACCACCTGAAGAAAGGAGGGAAAAGGGAGGCAAAGGGAAGAGTATTGCATTGAATAAATATATAATATACACTCGACAGTACCTGCTGAAGTTAGTTTAGTCCCTGACACCATTTTCCCTCCTTACCAAAAGTTACCACAGCCTGTGCGCATTAATTAGAACTCCACGTTGGTGGGTGTATCTATAAGCGGGGCTAATAAAAGGTGTGGCTAGGAGGAAATGTCTGCAGAGATTCCAGTAAAGACAAAAGGTCGCCAAGAAGGAAGGAGTTTTTCAGCCTATCATGCCTTCCACGTATTAATCATTTTTAGATTTATCAGTGTACTTTATAATAATATCAATGACTGCGATGAGACCTACAACTACTGGGAACCAGTAATTTAATATTATTATAATTTTAAATAATTATTGATAGTTATTCTGTTCTAGGCACATTATTTAATGCATGGCAGTGGGTTTCAGACGTGGGAGTATTCACCAGTATATGCCATTAGATCATATGCATACATACTAATCCATATACTCCCACTGTTTCTTATTGGTACAATTAATAAGGTGAGATTGTACTATTATTATTATTAACATTATTATTATTATTAATTTTATAGATTGTTCAGTTTTACACACTCCGATCGTTATTAGCTCTTGTCTCATGTTTCTGTGAAATATACTTTTTTAGGTTAGCCTCATTGGTTTTTGCATTTTTTCATTAATTTAAATTATCTTTATTATCATTAATAATAGTAATTATTATTATTTTGCAAGTATAATAGCTCTTTTAAAATCTAGAGCCATCAAGAGAAGATATGGATCAAATGTGGCTCTTCTCACTCTGCTGTTCTTAGCCCCTAGCAATGGAATGTTCATTGCATCAACTGCATTTCTCCCATCTTCCTTCACCATGTATACTGGAATGATTGCTGTAGCTGCATGGCTCAATGGAAAAGAACAGGTTTGATGTTGCAATCCATCATTTATTGATGCATGTGTACATATATACACTTTTAGGTGGCCATATTTTCTGTTGCTGTTGGGTCTATCATTGGTTGGCCATTTTTTGTTGCTTTGGGGTAAGCACTTTCATGATATGTTATATGGTAGCATTTAATTGTTTTGTTGAGTTTAGGATCCCTATTGCAGCTGATGTTATCTTAATTCAGAGAAGACTCTCATTTTTCTGTGTTTGGTCTATCATTAGTTTATTGGTCATTGGTGTAAGTAGTATACACGTGAACTAATTCTGATGATACCCTGTTTAGGTTCCTGTGGTTAGTATTGACTCGTGGTACTATGGCAAATTTGTATTTGCTTCTATTAACATCATAATGTACAATGTATTTGGTGGAGGAGGGCCTGATCTGTACGGTACTGAACCCTGGACTTATTATTTTGCAAATTGTCTCTTGAACTTTAACATTGTATTTGTTCTTTCCCTGCTTGCCTGGCCTTTAATTGAGATAAAAGTAAGATTATATTATTATTATATCTTTATTGGTATTGATTTTGGATTTTTTAGTTGCATTTCACAAAATCAGGTATGCACCATTATTCTTGCAATTTCTTAATATTATAATTCATCATAAGGTCGCTCATACTATACTGCATGGAGGAAGAGTGTATTACCAGTGATTGTGTGGGTGGCTATATTCTTTACTAGATCACATAAGGTACAAGATAAAAATACTTTATCATTCATATTCATAGTATAGGAGGAAAGGTTTCTCTTTCCCATATATCCACTTATTGTGCTCCTTGGAGCAATGTCAGTTGTGCTACTTCAAGATCTATTATCAAACCTCCTTGGAAGAATTGCATCCGGGTTTCAAACAATAGTTAAATATCTCCCAGCTATAGTTGTTGTACTTCATGCACTATTGGGCATCTCAAGATCAATGGCATTACATTATAGTAAGTTGGTTTTTAAAATGCATTAGTAAGACATATTATATACCTTTTTTATTTGCTGCTATCTTTAAAATTTATTTTATTTTTAGACTATCAAGGTTCAATGCAAGTCTACACAGTCATAAATTCTCAGTCAGTTCTGAGCTTCACTGGATATACCAGAGAAATAAATGTTTGTGTGGGAAAGGAATGGCACAGGTTTACCAGCAATTACTTCTTACCAGACAAGATGATACAACCACTTCGCAGTCGGTGAGTGAGGAAAAGAATTAAAGTAGAGTTGTCATCCTGTTTTAGGTGGTACTTGAGGTATATCAAATCAGATTTCAAAGGACAATTACCAAAACTATATGCTGAGGGGCCCAGTGGTACATCACTGATACCAAGTGACATGAATGATGAAAACAGAGAAGAACCATCTCGCTATGTAAGACTGTAGAGAAAGAGACTGTGATTTGATGTTAATTTGCGATTGCTTTTCATTTCTAGTTTGACATCAATCGCTGTCATTTTCTTGTCGATCTTGAGATATCATCATTTTCAACTCAAGAGCCACATTACTCAAAAGACACGAGCCAGTGGGAGCTATTGTATAGCTATCCTTACCTTGACTCCGTGAAAGCATCAATACTGCATAGGACACTCTACATACCAGGACTAAAGAAAAGAAAAGGAGAGTTGGGTCGATACGTCCTCCTTCGAAATAAGAAAGGGGACTTTGTGAAAAATCTTGATGATATACAATAAAGAAACATTTAAATGCATTAATTCAAAATCAATGGTTGGTGACAGAGTGAAAGAAATGAATAATGTTGGGATAATGCTTTAAAGTGGCATTTTCCTTCCTTCTATACTTATTGAGACTGCATGAGTGTTCTTCCCTCTTGCCGTCTTCTCTCTTTTCTTCTGTACCTGCTTCTCATAGCGATTCAGGGTTTTCTTACTAGAGCCCTGAATAAAGATTGCAAAAGTAATGTTAACATGTGATGGCTTTAACCACTTAAGATTACCTTAGAGAACTCGTGTTGCTTGTTCCACTTAGGTCTCACAACATAGTCTTTATTGGAGGGTAGAGGGACTCTAGCTCTACCAACCCATCCTTTGTCACCTGGTTTCAGTGCTCTGTTGTTATACACACATAAAATGTATGTAAAGAAGGAAATACAGTATATTTATTTACTCTAATTCATCTTGTCTTGATGGATCAGATTCTCTACTATCAGAGCTATAGAACAAAGATTGTGACGTGTAGATTAGTAATAATAGAACAAAGTTGAGTCTTACCTTAAACGTCTCCTGGCTGCTTGTGACAGGTGGGCCCAATCCCGCTCCTCTCTCTCGTCTCTGCTCAAACCTTTGAAATCATCAGTCAAACCAAACACTGGTCTTGCCCACTTATCTACAAAAATATTACGTGACATTATTAAGTATACACTAGGCCTGGCTTTCTGTGCATGCTTGTTTTAATACAACAATCCTGTCCCCTCACTTATCAGCTTTCCAGCCTTTTCTCTATTCTTCTTAATCTCCTTTGGATGCCTGTACAGCAACATTATTGCCTTTCCTAGGCCACTGGTCTTGAGTATGTGCCCATCAAGTAGTGGGAACTATTAAAAAATCCAATTTTGCTCAGGATCACATCCATAATATAAGAATGTGTATAATCATGAATTAGAAAAAATATATATATATAAATGGGTAATCATTTCATTTTGATTAAATATGAAGTGCTATAGCTCGACCAATCTTTGGCCAAATATTAAAGGCATTTGCTACAGTTTAAAATTGCTACACCAGATTGGGAGGACAGTTCTCTTGATATGTGTATCTATAGCACTTAATTTTTTGAAAGGAATAAAAGTTCCTGCTAAATTATTCTTTCCATTATAAAAGAACTAGAAGAATGTAACACATTAGTACATGTACATGTAAATGGAAGGTGGAATCATCATGTACCAGTTTAAGAGCATCTAGAATGTTCTCTCTGATCTTCTGGTGGGGCAGAGAGTGATCTGGTAGTGGTTTAAGCCAGTCAGCTAGTGCTGAGCATATGCCACACTCAATGAGGGCATTGAGAAATTCAGACCTTTAGTAAGTGAAAAGGAAGAGAAAAGACAAAAAGAAAATAATTAACCTATTACAAAATGCTTAGTGATTCTATTATGCAATACATGTGATGCATACATTACATACTTCTTAAGATGTGCTATGACTGTTGGTAGAAATTGAAGTTTCTTTGTTGCAGCTTTTTGCTGCAAGTTTGATCTCCTATCTTCCTACAATATTACATTTTACATGTGTATTAGTGTGTATAACAATCATAATTTATTATTATTTTGTATCAGTGACCAACCTCAGCAGCTTCCTTCATATGCCTAATCATGACTAATATTTGATCATCATAAGCAGTGCTGTCACTGTCATTCTACAGGTACATGTAATGTATGTGCAATAGAAAGGAAACATACAAATACATACGTAAAAAAAATAGTTAACAAACCTTCTTCTTTCTCCTGGCCCTAGCCATTGCCTCCTTCCTCCTCTGCATCATGACATCAAAATCATACACTTTCCTATTAATAATGAACCCTTTACAGTAGTACCAATAATAAAAAAGCACTAACGGTTCTTTGCTGTCCTCAAGCTCAGAGTCACTGGAATGATGCCCACCACTACCACCGGGGGCCTGAAGATTTTCCGACTGCTCCAGACCCAGTAATTCATTCTCTAATTGCTCGAGATGCTCAGCAGAGCCCTCTTGCTCTTCATCATCATCATCATCATCTCCTCTGCCTTCCTTCTCTTCTAATAACTGTCCATCATTGTCATCATCTTCTTCTATTGTCTCTTTCATTCGTACCTCCTCCTCCTCCTCATCCTCTTTCTCTTCTTCATTATTATTATCATTAGTTTCTTTTGGTAGTATTTCTTTCTCTTGTTCTTTTTCAAGGTTCTTCGGATCATCTTCTCCCTCCTCCTCTTCCTCTTCTTCCAAGTGACGCTTCTTTTCAGATAATTTATCCTCGTTTTCTTCATCACTTGATTGTGGGCGTGGTCTTTTTACTCTCATGAGTCTTTCTTCATCACTATCACTCTATGGAATGCAAAATTAAGAATAATTTAAAATGAGGATTTTCAATCATAAAATATTCAAAATCAGCCGTATGTCATGTGGGCTAACATTTCATACATGACGAATATACTTTCCGTACATCTATGATACAATAATAATTATACATGACCACGCCCCTTTATTTCATACTTCAATATTAAATGGATCAGATTCAACTCTTGGCTCTTCTTCTCTTTCATTACTTGGTTCTTGTGTTTCAGGCTCATTTGAAGCATCATCCACTTTCCCTTCGCCTGATACTTGAAGACTGTCCTCTTCGCCTTCGTCTCCAGACAGGAAAGGATTTCCTTCACCCTCGTTTTCAGACATTTTAAAAGATATACGGAGCAATCATTCCGTATTTTTCAGCTTCTGATATTAGTCCACGTGCACTCACGTGATTATTCATAGTGACCACGCCCCCTGTAATGGTTGAAAAATAAATGACACAATCAGTTGTGATTCAAGGTAAAGCTAAAATAATATGTAATTTGTGTAATTTTAGCTATTGCAGTTGGACAATGTGGCAATCAAGTGAGCAAAATTAAGGAAAGTGCATTAAATTATAATTTTATTTATTATAAAGGTCGGCAGGTGCTTTTGGGATTTAGCACTATGTGAGCATGCACAATGGAATAAGGTAAATTAAAACATTTATGATTAAAATGGGTAACAATTGCAACGTTCATTTTATAACAGAAAGGAATTTATGACGAGCCTCTGAGCAGTTTTTTTAGAAATGTTGATATGAGGTATGCGTAAAGGGTTAATTGAAGCAATATTGTTATTGTTCTTTCTATAGAGGCCATGATTTGTCTGTTGGGAATAGGATTTCTAACTTAAGAGCAAGAGTATGTACATATATATGACTGCATGTTATTCTATTGATCCTAATTATTGAGCTGTTTAAATAATAATTAATACACTATATTGGGGCATCCAAAATAATTTAAGAATTTTTAGGCTGTCTTGATTGATATGGAAGAAGGCGTTGTGAGTGAATTACTTCACAGTTCTTTGGGTGAGATATTTGATCACCGTCAACTCATTACTGATGTATCTGGATCTGGTAACAATTGGTACGATGGACAATGCTACTAATCCTAGCATGAATGATGATGCCCTACTCTAGGGCTGTTGGTAACATGTACTATGGTGGCCAGTATAAAGAGCAGCTGTTAGATGTTATTCGTCTGTCGGCTGAACATTGTGACTGCCTCCAATCCTTTTTTATACTGCACTCAATGGGAGGAGGTGAGATGGTAGCAGTAGGGGATTCATCATACATTAAACTTGTCTACTTAGGAACTGGATCTGGTGTTGGTAGTAGAGTCTTAGATATAATACAGAATGAATATCCTGATGTGTATAGGTTTGTTTCTATTTTCAGTAGCTAAAATTTTAATATATACAGGTTTGTAGTTCCTGTGTTTCCTAGTTCTGATGATGATGTTATCACTTCACCATATAATTGGTAATGTACATGTAAATTTATTGAGAGTTATAATTGTATACTTCAGTGTTTTGGCTTTGAGTGAGCTAACAAGCAAAGCTGATTGTGTTCTCCCAATAGAGAACCAAGTACATAATAATGAAGTAACAATAGGTACGAATACGATCATATTAATTTTAGGCTCTCCTTGACATTTGTCGGACTATAAGGAAGGCAGGAACTTGTGCTAGTAAAGGCCCATCTGGAATGAAGCCAGGAACTGGCATTACTGATAAAGGAAGAGAAGGATCTGATAAACCATTTGATGACATGAACAACATAATTGCTAATCTCCTTCTAAACTTGACAAGGTAATACATGATAGCTTGTTGCAGCTATAAGTAATTTTATATAGTCATAGTAGTAATTATTTCACAACAACAACTAGTATTATTGTTTTGTTTTGTTATATATAGTGCATCAAGATTTGAAGGCTCGCTCAATGTTGACTTGAATGAAATAACAATGAACTTGGTTCCTTTTCCCAGACTTCATTATCTCCTACCAGCCATGACACCACTTTACAACATTAAAGGAGTTAGCATACCACCAAGAAGGTTTTTAATACAATATAAAAAGGAAGATGTACCTTGTCTTTTCGCTCTTGCATCTCTCTCTCTCTCTTAGATTAGATCAAGCATTCTCTGATGCATTTTCCCGTGACTATCAGCTCTTGAAGACAGACCCAAAGAATGGAACGTATGTACATTTATATTGTAAAACATTCCTTTCTGTTATTCTTTGCAGTAAAGCAAACTATATATATAATGGGAAGTAGTGTATATTTATCTGTATAGGTTTTTGGCATGTGCTTTGATGCTAAGAGGAAAAGCCAACATATCAGATGTAAGGAAAAACATTGAAAGGTTAGACTATGTACAAAATATGTACAAAATATGGTGTACTGATGTGAAAGGCTAGATATAACTCTTATTTATAGACTGAGGCCATCTCTCAAATTTGTACACTGGAATAGAGAAGGTTGGAAGACTGGTTTATGCTCTGTACCTCCACTCAATCAGGTGTTTATAAAATATTATTGTCATTTGATTCATTTCTTTTTTTTGTTACTGTAGCCATATTCTTTGCTCTCTCTTGCTAACAATACCTGTTTTGCAAGCTCTCTCAATGAAATAGAAACACGATTCCATAAACTGTACAAGCGAAAGGTGATTCCACTACTTCATCATTAATTTGTAAGATATTGTTTAACTTTTAGGCACACTTGCATCACTATACTAAAGTTGATGGTATGGATATCAGTGCATTTGAGTCAAGCATTGAATCACTTCAATCACTTATACACGAATATAGATCTTTAGAACAGGGCAATGTTGATGCTGGCATACAACGTTTAAAGATATGCTAGTATTAATAATTATTTTTATAACTGCCACCTACACACCAATTATTATAATTAAAGGGCGTGCCTTAAGTAGGTGTGGGTGTGGTCTTCTCTAAAAAAGAAAGGAGGGGTTCAGAATGTCTTCTGGAGAAATAGACAAAACTTTGCTTGCTTTTTTAAATGGTCTCTCTCGACGACAGTACTTTGGAGAGGATCAGTTCTCTGACCAGTTTCTCAGGGAAGAGATTTTAGGAAATATTGATGTGGAAGGTGAGAAATTGTGAAAGCTTTGATTGAATTATCCAATTTCTAAAAATAGCTTATTAACAAACACATCACTGTCTTACTTTCACTAATTTCTAATTGAATGTATTAATAGATTATATGGGAATGCTGAAAAGATTCCAAACTATTATCACAACAATGGCATCAGGAGATATGGACTATGCCCAGCTTGATGCTTTTCTTACCTCTCAAATGAAGAAACGGCAGGTAAAAATATTAATTATGGGTTTTCACGAGACTTTGGCATAGTGCTTATGCAGTTTTTTTGTCAATGGACTGTCAAAAGTTGAAAATCTGGCAAAAATGTCAAGGAGGGAGTTCTCCATTTTTATAAATTTTCTGATGCATATACATTTTTATGCTGTGTAGAAAGTTTGAGTAGATTCCGATTCCATTTGGAATTTTTACAAATTTTTAAAGTTGCTTCAAAAAGCCATGTTCTATATTGTAGTACTTATCAGCTCAAGAAGCATAGCGCTGTTAGCTCACTTAGCATGCTTTGTGAGTAACCCTGATCATATTTCATTTGGAATTAACTTTACAGGCTCCTTTAACTGAAGTTGAAGCAGCTACTGTGAGAAGGTTTTGGAAGAATCAGAAAAACAAGGTACTTACACTCTAAGCTGTCCTGTAGCAGCAGTTATGCCATACACTTCTAATGTTAGATCCATGAACAATTGTCAGCACAGGCAGTTTGGGACTCTCAGCTAAAAGCAATCAATTGGAGAGTCGATGTTCAGAGTAAAGCACGTCACATTGATCAACTCAACCAGCCATCAGCCATTGTAGAAATGAAAATTGGCAAAAGTTGCACTGAAGAGGTTGTAATAGTCACTTTACTATTTTACATGATGTAAATTTTTTTTCAGGTTTCTGATATTGTAAGGTTCGAAGTTGATGCTCAAAAGCTCTCTGGAATTTTGTCTCAAGTTGGAGACATACAAACTGCAATAGAAGCTAATATGCAAGCATAGTCTACAAGAAAATAGAATTATTTTTATTTTGTAATAAAAATTACATTTAGACAAACACATATTTGTGATAGGTGTGGCTCATTGTATTAAAAATTCTCTTAATAAAGTTACGTGATTCCAATCGCATTGTCAGTTTTGCCGTAGGTTTTGCAAACTTGCTAAGAAGAAAATGAAGACTCTGGTAGCATTTATCTTGTTCCTGTACGTATGCAAAAGCAGTCAACTGCAGGAAAATTCAACTAAAAGAGTGATGGGTGCTTACTTTGCAAACTGGGCTCAGTACCACACCAAGCCCTACACTTACACGCCAGAGAAACTTGCACCTATCATCGGAAAGGTCGACCAGTTGATGTACTCATTTCTCTATTTCGATGACAACACGTACAATGTGCGACTCATTGAACCGAAAGACCCGGAATTCATCAAGACCATCACTGGCTACAAGTCCTCCAATCCTAACTTGAAGGTCATTGCATCAATTGGAGGTTGGAATTTCCCTTCTGCTCTGTTCAGTAAAATGATGAGCAGCTCTGAGTCTCGCAGTGCTTTCATTAAATCACTGAAGGACACACTTGAGAAATATCAATTTGACGGTGTTGATATTGATTGGGAGTATCCATGCAGCTCACCCCGTACAGATTATGTGAAGTACACGTGTGCGGATATTAAGGACTCTCATGATGCAGGTGGTAAATGTCCCGACGATACAAACAACCTTTTAATGTTTGTCAAAGAACTCCGTCAGTCGTTGGGTTCAGATGCATTTATTAGTTTTGCTAGTCCAGGATCAAAGGATAAGTGGGAGAAATGGGATCTCAAAACAATGTCAAGCTACGTTGATTACTGGCACGTGATGACGTATGATTACACAGTGTCTGATATTAAAAACTCGTCTGTAACAGCACCTAATGCTCCTCTCTATACTCCAACAGATACTAATGGTGTTGTTCAATGGAGCATTGACTACACTAGTTAGTTTGATTATGTAATGCTTAAAGGTACAATTCTTTTACTTTAGTAACTGGCTATCTTGCGGCTGGCGTCCCTGCTAATAAAATAATGCTGGGTATACCTCTGTATGGGCATACATGGTCAGTATGTTTATCACTAGCTTAATTAGTATGTACATGTACCTATGCATGTATATAATAGGTATATCCCAAATATAAAAGGTGATGAGTGGCAGAGCTATGGATTGAATGCATCCATTCAAGGTAATGAACACTTTGAATAGCAAAGGCACTATGCACACAATACACATCCCTCCTCCATTCACAAACAATGCATTGAAATAACCTTGCGTACATGCATTTAATAGTCAAATTCTACACACAGGTGATTGCTGTGGTTCGTTCAAAAGTACATACGGTGCACTATATGGGAAAGGCTCTCAATTATGCGGTACATATATGTACAGTGAAATAGTTGCTGCTGGCCCATTATATTACTTTGATACAAAGACAAAAACTGCAATAGCATACATGGCTAAAGACTCACAAGATGGTTGGACTAAAGCTGGTACATGGTTTACGTACAATGACAAGAACTCCATTGATGCAATAGCAAAATACGTTGGTAATAAGTTATCTTCATAGTAATGATGGTGATACACTTTATATTTACATAGGTGAGAAGAATCTAGGAGGTGCCTTTATATTTGACACATCAGAAGATTCCCTGAGCTATGAGACAGGGGAGTTCACCTATACACTCATGTCAGCTCTTGCTACTGGCCTTAAGGGAGGAGGAGGAAATGAGGGACAGAAGAATTTTTGTGCTCCATCTCCTTCTAGCCAATGCAATGTTTGTCAGAAGTGTTGTAAGAACTACCTTACCATTCAGCGTGATTGTGATGCTTGCGTTGTTATTAACTGCCCATAACTATGCCAATAGTTAATTTGGTAAACTATATTTTTCTCTTTCTAGAAGTATGTGTGCTTATATTTTTTGTGTGCTTTTATAATGAGTTAATTTAGAAAAAAATATTATATTATTGCTGCCAAAATGTCCAAAAATGAATTAAAATAATTCAATTTTATTAGTTATTGATTGATGGTTGCACCATAGTTGTTACTATTGGAAGCAAGCAATTTCTCTTCATCAACCAATCGGACAGGATTAGCCTTATGTACTTTTGCCTTACGTACATCAAAATACAGCAAAATTCTATACAAAGGTAGTATATTCAAGGTTCATAAAATAAATCTCTTACATAATAAGTGGAATGTTCAATGCCCATATTCCAGCAGATACCCAAAATATGACACCAGCATTGATATTATGACCATTAACAACTGCTTCAGGATGATATACTTCATTGAACAATATTGAAGCTCCACTTGAAGATACAGCTTCCAATGCAGATGCTAGAGTTAACACAGAACCTGAAAAAAGATAAGTCTTTCGTCATTAATTAGTCTAAAGGTATTCTCCTTTACCGTATAATTTTGGGCTGACATACAATGCCAACATAGATCGCATTACAGGAAACCCAATGTCACGAATGCTTAAAAATCCTCCAACTACATAACATCAAACATGAATATCATAATTGTTTTGTAATTTCTCACCTACAAACATTTCCCATGTTTTCCTTACAAATCCAGTTAGCACATTACATATTACTGCAGTAAAAATAGGAATTAAAATAATAAAGTATTTCCAAAATTTCAAAGCGATTAAAATAGGACAGAGTATAAGTAGCGAAAGTGCATTTAAAACATTAAAATAAGCTCCATAATAAGATATAAAACGATACGACCATTCC